TTCATTGTGTGCATCCTACAGAAAGGGTGAGTTGCTGGCTTGCAAAAAAATGCATTGACAAAAACATGTTACCATATGCTATTTTCAGATCTCCGCAAGCCCAAAGGTTGAGTGTATCAACTGCCACCAGGCTGTTGCCATGGACATGGTTAGATCCCATCAGGATGTGTGTGGAGGAGGTAGTTCAAGAAGTACTAGGTGTGGTAATATTTTGACTTTTGACAAGCCCTTTCTGTACAGGATATTATAATCATTGCCCTAAAATTACAGTGAATTGTACCTAGGAGATCTCTTCTTCACTTTTCTGTATGCCCTTTGTTGAGTGAGTATTAATTCAGGTACAAATATGTTTTGTTAACCTTTTCTTTTTTGATAGTGCATGTGAAGAGACAGTGCTTCAGGACACCATCAATTTGCAAACAGGTACAGTGCTACATTATATACATGAAAATTTCTTACCAGAAAGGCCAGCAGTTATTGCAGAGATAACACAAAAACATTAGGGTTGTGGTAATTTTTCTATTGCTCTATCTTGACAAGGGAAAAGAAGCAGACATAATTGATATTAATAGCACCTTCAACTCTAGGTGTGAACCAACTGAAGGGAATTTTTCCTGATATGGATTCAAATGCCATACAACAAGCATTAGACAATGCTAATGGGTGTATTGAAGCAGCAACATCTGCATTGTTAGGTGATGATGAAGGTACTGTAAAGTACAATAATTCATTGTTACTCAAACCATCTTTGTTAACCTTACAAACACAATTAGGACTGCAAAACTGGGTGTGTTGTCAGGGTCCCAAGAATCATTAGTAATTAGCTCAACTGAACCAAACTTCAATTGAGCATTTCAGGCTTGCAGCATCGTCGTGATAAGAATCAGTCCCACACCAGTCAAGTTTTTGAATATAGATTTCCTTCTTCTATGTACCTACAGCTTTTGGCAATTTATCAGAATTTACTGCGTCACTTTTACTTAAGCTTATATATGAGCTCCTTGTAGCTGCGTTCTAGCGCTTCTAGAATTACGTCATCCGCTTATGTTACATAGTTCACCAGATTATCCAAATGTTATATAATATGAAATCTACGCTACACAAAGATAACATAACCAGAAATTCAGGACATTAATTACCATAAAAGGTCATAATGCCAGTATTTTGCAATCAAAGATGACTGCCTTGTTATAATAGAATTATATAAGGCACAAGACAAAATTTGAAATTAAATCAACTTTTTACTTACATATTGCAGTTGCGGAGTTTGATTTAAAGACAGGCAGAAGCTCAGTACTGTTTGTTATGACAATTTTTTTTCATTATTTTTATACTACCTTTAACAGATTCCCCAGTAATGTCATTTCAGCAACCAACCATTATATATGCTTGCAATATAATCGAATTTAATTTTTTTTTCAGATGAAATTGAAATTTTGACGTCATTTGGTATTGCCTCTGAACACGACGAAATCGCAGTGAATAAAGAAAAGGAGTTGTTGACGGTACAAGCACTTAGAAAGGAGGTCATAGACGAGAATTTGCCACGACAACGGTTCGTTGTGTCACGTGAAGATGGCATGGATGAACTCAAGAGAGATATTTTAAGCAACAATAAAGATAGCAAGTGCGAATTGAAGGCAATACCGCGGGTCAGGTTTGAGGGGGAAGAGGGCGTTGGAAGTGGCCCTGTTAGAGAATTTTTGCTGTGTGCAATGAAGATTGTGCGGGATGGTATTGGTGGTAGTGGAAAGCCAATCATCTTTTTCGAGGGAGAAAAAGATCACCTTGTCCCTATTCATCACCAAACATTAAGGTACATTGCATTTCTTTATTGTTAGAAAGTGTATATTGCGTTATTGTGTAACACTATGCTGTTTGAACACATTTTACTTTTTCTGCAAAATAAATTACATTTCCAGTGTGTTTCATTTCTTAATACTAGGTGTACCGGAGCATTTAAAGCAATTGGGAGGATTATTGGCCATTGCATAATACATGGAGGTCCACTATTTTATGGGCTATCCCGAGCAGTATTACACTACTGGACTTCAACAGCTGCAATTGGTGACCCGGATTTGGAAACACTTCCTGCCAGCATAAACATGGAAGATATCCCTGATACAGATCTTAGAGCGTACATATTACAGGTACAGTGTGTGGTACTGTATTTAATTAAATGGTCACATGTTTAATCGTATTTAAGCCCGTTTTCCAATATAATTTTTCTTTGTTTTTTCTCAAATTAGTTCTGCATGAAAGCGCGCGGACAAGAAAAAAATCGGCTCCGCGCACAAGATAAGACATGTAGCTAAAAGAGCTGTCCTTTAACAGTCACTTCAGAACTCAGTATTTTTTTTGCAGCTTGAAAATTTGCAAGATGCAGCCATACCGTCAGATTTAAAGGATAATCTCATGCCGTACTTATACGAATCTGGTCTTGACATCAGTACCTTAAATTCAGGGGCGGATTCAGCCTAACGCACAACCCCCATCAAAAAATTTTCGGATAGATTTATTAGTTATAATGTACTCATTATTGTTATACACTTTATATGCAAGTGCCCGAATGACCTTTGACCTTAAGAACCCGCACTCACGCAGAACATATGTAAATTGTTCGTTTCATATAAACATATACTCGCGCTTTAACCACTTTTAAATCCAGCCTTATTAAATAGACGTAAACGTAGAATCCCGCTTCGAAATTTCGGCGAAGAGCCGAAGACGACTCACGAGCGGTCAATAATTCGCTCACACAGGCTTAGAATTGATTTGTTCCTTATAGCTATGCTTATCACTGATATGACTCGAATAAATTCGACAAAACTTCAAATTATTCTCTTGAAGGGCAGGTTTTGCTTCTGAAAAAACATTCTTTTCCATTTTAGACATGTATTTTAAGTAATATTACACACAGGTAGAGAACATAGGGTCGACAAACACTTTTGGAAAGATAGAAATACTATAATAAACTATGTCTATAGCTCCGCTGTAATAAGATAATAAAACCAAGCAGCCATGTGCGTCATGATCGGGCAGAGAAATAAACCAATAAAAGCCTTGCAAGTATTTGAAAGTAACCAATCATCGAAGGCCTCGCATAGCCGGCCTGCCCGCTACTGTGGCAAACCCCCTAAAATTTGCCCGCAGACCGGTCAAAAAAGTTTGCTTCTATGGCAACGTGAGATTTGACCAATCACAAGTCTCAATTTCGTGGGGGAAAGCCCTGCAAACCGGTCATAAAGACCGCTGTAACACTGCATCATGTTCGGAAACTTTGCTTTGCATCATAATGCGACAGAACAAAACCGAATTATATAAACGGAATATCCCCCATATAGTCAAACGGATTCAAACCGAAACCAGCACCAACCGCATAGTTTGAGATAGTGATAGTAATACTATGCTGAATGATAATTAAACAAAGCTAGGCTTTGGGAATTTTACGTACATCACTTGACCGGTTTGATGTACGCTGAATCCGCCACTGCTTAAATTCAAACCGACGTCATGTAATCCAAGGAATAATGGTTCACAATGTCATAGACAAAAGAAGGAGGGAGTTGGATGATATTGCCAAGGGTTAGTGAAGTACTTTATGGAGGGCAATGCAATTGCCAATGATTTACCATGTTTATACAGTGAATTTGTATATGTGTGAATAACGCGGTCAACGTTCCAAATATGAACAATTTTGTCATGTGGTAGAAGGCAGTTTTCTACTTCCAAATTATAACCATTTTTCTGCATTTTCAGGAATGAATGAAGTAAAATTGCATTCGTTCATGGGAAGATGTTCTTTTGAAATATTGGAAATGATATTTCCTAAATCTGAACTGCAGTTCATAACTTTTGATGAAATGAAGGATGCAATGGTCTTTAAGGAGACTGAGGGCCGGGAACAGATAATAACGTAGTGGCACAATTATATATCCACTCTGGCAAAATATGAAGCAGGTATAATTATGTAACAAGCGCTTGGGTCATCGTCACAAAGTCGAATGGTGTGAAGTAAAATTAGTTCAGCAGTAAAGTTAGCTGAGAGATGTAATAAAACAGTGTACATGTATTTTAATATTTTATCGGTCGCAACCTGCGTTGCTACGCAGAAAAGTATGAGACATGATAGTAATGGTCTCCTTGTGAAGCAAATGTACGTACAGTATTAAAAATATACCAACTAGCCTAACTCAGTTAAGCAACGCTAGTAGTTCGGCTAGTAACCATGTTGTAGTTAATCAATTATGATTACGATTAACAATTTATAATTATTATTTTAGAAAAGCCTTCATTGACCGATCTGTGCTGCTTTTGGACGGCGACCAACACATTACCACCAAGGGCCGTCTTGCAGGTAAAGTTTCACGATGACAACAGTGAGTTACCTTTTGCAGAAACATGCTTCTACTCGTTAACACTTCCAATAGTCCATAAGACGTATGAAGGGTTCGAGAGGTCCATGAATGTGGCACTTCGTCATGGATACATGGGAATAGACCGTCCGTGACAGTTGTTAAGAAGACTCCTCACATTACAATAATTGCTGGTTGCGTCACATATTCTGTACTGACTGTGCACACATGCACTATAGGGAGCAAATTTTATTCAGTTTTGTTTACGGAAAAAAAATATTCGACAGCACACAAAATCCGGTCTTGCAAAAGAAATGCAATATTAAATATTAATTTATTTACCATGAAAGTCATACAGCAAAAAAATACATTGTGCAATGTTGGAAATTTTGAACGTCGCGCATTGCCTCTGCAACGAGAGAATGTATGGTTTTACCTCGTGTTTGAAACGGCGATGTTTCGGCCTATGACTATGTACAGACTTTCAATAGTCGAGTCAATGAAAGTAGATTTTTTAAACGGTAGCTTAAAGATATTCAGGTAAACGCATTTATACTGCTGCAGGACACGATTGTGCGCTGTCGAATACACATCTCTCCCGTTGTCTTTGCGTTGCGGTTATGCTTGGGTAAGGTCATTCATATTCTATCCAACAATAGTGTTAACAAATCGCAATGATTCCAAATATATATCAATCCCGTATGAATCACTTTCTCTAAGTGGATCTATTGTTGCTTGAAGTTCTTCGAAGCGTTGTGGGGAAAATGGACATATTGTTTCTGGCACTTCAACCACATCAACATCTGCATCAACCGGAAGAGGCCCACCCCAATCGACCGCATATTGCTGAAATTGCTCCTAGAAAAACCAACAACTAAACTAAGATATTACTGCATTTGCCTGTTCCCCAACAACATTTAATACTTTAACAGGTAGTTTTTCTTACCATAGTAGTGGGTTCATACAAGTCATGAATGGCTACATGCTGGGAGTTTCTGTACTGCAGGAGGCCTATTATGTAAAGTTGCATGGGGGATCTGTTTCTAGCAGTCCTTATCCTGTGTTGCAAATATCCTTGTCTCCAAGTTTCCAAATGCCGGTTTATCCTGGGAATATATGTGTAATGCAGCGCGAAAAGATGGGATGGATTAGATGGTTCTAGGATGCCATTATCTTCTAAATGGTAAAATAGGCTGTAGTAGATAAATGTTACACCGTTGAACAGATCACGCCATAATCGTTCAATTCTTTGATTATGAACGCTTCTTCCTGTTATCATACTCCCTCTGTTTGGTCCTTGCAAAGGATGCTCTAGCATATATAAGGAAACTGCAGTGTTTTCACCACCCTTGTCTGATCTTACCCTTGATGGCAGGCCATACTCATTCACTGCAGCCAAAAAACAATCCAGAACTGTTTCCGCTCGATTATTATCACTGCACTTTAAATATACTGGGACTCTAGTATACCCATCTACTCCACCATGAATAACCAGCCGCCACCTTAAGCAGTAAATAAACCCTCATTAAATAAAGTTTTAATAATAATAATAAACAGCGGAGCAATAATACAATGTGACTTACTTGACTATATGAGCAACGACACAATATGACTTACCTGATCAATTTATGGTTTCTGTCTATGTGCCATAATGCCAAAGGACCGGATACACTATACTGTCTTCTTGGCGTCAATTTCAGCCAGCGTACAGCAACTCCTTCTATGTCCACTCTCCGCATAGACTCTTGGACTCGCATTTGTGAGGGCTTAAAACCAGAAGTAGCGAGTTGCGAAATAACTCTCCGATACCCTGCATTAAGAAATTCATATAAGATATCCCGTATCATGGCATCAAGTTCAGCATCTGATAAAGGAGGTAAATTTCCTCTGATGGACAGTCCATAATGGTGCATTCGCCTGGATATCGTACTTTGTGATACTCCTAAGGCTTTGGCAATGTCAGCAATTGAGAAGTGGTAGTTGATGAAGTAATTCAATTGTTCAGATGTAATGTTTAAACTAGGACGGCCACGCCTACCAGAGTGAATTACTCCCGATCTAAAGGGGCCTTCAATATTTAGCTCTTCTACTCTTTGCAGGTAACTCATAGCTTGTATAACACAATGCTGAATTTCATCGTCCACAAGGTCCACACCACAAAGTCGTATAATATGCGATGCTAATTGTTTGAGCCGAAATATAACAGTATTTGTTTACAAGTCGATTCGTTTCGAGTAAGCGTTGCTCGATTTACAATGATGTCGTTCGATTTACAATGTCGTCCCATCTAAGTAATTAATTTTGACTGTAAAAACGCGCCATACTAGGGCTTGAGTTGGCACTTGATGTATTTGATAAAGAAAATGAGGGCCGTGATAGCATGTCATCATCTTCACCACCACTGGTATTCAATACCTCTGGGGTGAGTTCGATTAATTCTTTATAAATGTTCAGACGTACATGGTGACCTTGTTACGATCTTGCTTTACAAAATGAATGTTGTGTGACTCTATCAGTGGAAAGCGCTGCCTTAATACCTACAACAGAGGAGTAGTATAATATATATATATATATAAATATATATATATATATATATATATATATATATATCAAGAGCCAGCCTTTCAACATACTTGTATATACATCTAGATCTATCTGGTAGATTGCAGGAAATGTGGCAAACAATATGTGGGCTGTACTATAACACCTTTCAGATTGAGGTTTAATAACCATAAGAGCTCTTTGAATAGATATGGGGAGGGAAAAAGGAATATTTGCGGTCAACAATTGTATGCACATTTCTATGGGGAAGGTCATTCAGGTTTAAAAGATTTTATGGTTCGAGTTATTGACAATACAAATGCTAATAACCCGACCGAAAGGGAAAGGTTTTGGATAGAAAAAATTCAATGTTATGTGCCATTAGGTTTAAATGAGAGGAAAGATTGTTAATTGTATGGTTATGCTAATTTTCAGGTAATTAGGCTATATAGGTTTGAAGGACGGTGAACAGATTGTCATTTCGTTTCTGACGAAGGGGCTTGCCCCGAAACGTAAAATAAAGTTATTATTTCATTTTACTTTTTTGTATATTGATGATTATATAAATATATATATATATATATATAAATATATATATATATATATATATATATATATATATATATATATATATATATATATATATATATATATATATATTTTTACACTAAACACTGTAAATGATGCGCATATCTCCGTTATACTTTTTCTAATTTCTGATTCGGTTTGTTCCGTCCCAATTTCAATGTAACACTTTAATAATACCATGTCATCCTTTATCGCATAGTCAGATATGAAGTCATTTGGGCCGATGTACTCATCAGGAGGTTTATCCAGCAGATGTACTGTTTTTGGATAATATTGCTGTACCTTCTTATGTTTACTCTTTTTTAAACACCAAAATGTAAACTTGTAGCAGCCCTTTTTCCACTTGCAGAAACTGCTGTATTACCACCAGCGGGAGAAATGCTTGAGGTAGATCTAGGAGAATCTTGATTACGGGAGAAGGTCAATTGTGTGAGCGTACTATTAAATGTATTAATATTGCTTTGCGAAGGTATTAAATTTGCAACTTCTCGGCTAGCTGATCTTGCAGAACCAGCAATGAGATCTCTTGTCCACGCCAGTAAGTTGGTATTTCCTTGGCGAGCAGATTGATGAAGTTCCATTGAACTTTCATCAGTGAAAATCACATCGTCAAATTTATCTTTATCATCCAAGCATCGTTGAGCAAATTTGAGTTAGTTGGGTTGATTTGCTTCCTTCATGAGTTGGCAATATTTCGAACCAGTGGCCAAACAACCTAGCTTTCGTTGAAGTCTTAACTTCACTTGTCAAAAACGATTAGTCAAAAGCCAAATTCTCTTTCGATTAGTGATTGAAGGCCTGGCGAAGTTAATTAATCGTTGAGTTTCATTTGTGCGTTGATAAAATTAAAAACTTCCATAGACAAAGTCTGGTTCTGCTTGAAGCGCTGTCAAAATTTCCACAAGCAAACTCTCGAAACTTCAACCCCTTCACTTTTCAAATTTTTTTGTATTTCGAATGGCTTGTAGCCACTTTCTTTCAATTTAGTAATGCGCTTTTTGCTGCAGTTAACCTTCCCATTCTCGAATTGCACAACAAAAGTAATGAAACAAGTTTTTATTAAGCCATGGGATTCCCCTCTTGCAGAATGAGATTCCCGTCCCCCGGGATAAGAATCCTGTCCCACAGGACAGGATATGGAATTGTTAACTCTCCCATAAATGGTACTGTATAGAAAATTAAATCCCGAAAAGGTTGCTGAATCGTCTAAATCGTCAAATATTATGTCAAGCAAAAGTATCCAAAAAAAGTTAAAGATACTTAAAAAAGGCAATATACTAAATGAAAGTTAGATTATAGTGAAAATGTAACAATTGATTAAAAAGTACAATTAGAAAATAATTTGGATGACAGTATATCTGAAACCCCAGAGATACTTAGTTACTCTGAAGATTTAGGACAGCAAATTGACCTTCCAATTGAGTTATTTCATAAAGAACATAAGTGTTGGACCAGAATATATTTGCATCTGTTGTCATCAATATGTATAGATCATCTGTCACTGAATGTAATGTTTCTTTATATAAATCTTGTTCCAAAAATCCTTAATTTATGTCTTACTTGTGTGAAGAGTATTGATAACACTGAATGGATATGTGGTACATGTTACTCAAACTTAAAAGTTGGTCGAATTCCAAGTTGTGCAAAAGCAAACAAAATTACCTTCCCAGATAAGCCAGAGGTCTTAAAAAAGCACCTCTTGAAGAAAGACTAATTTTCCAAGAATTTTTTTGCGTGCAGACGCGGAGCTCTGAGCTCTGTATCTGCTTCTGTTTTTTGAATATAACGTATGTGCCAAGTTATCGTCCTGCGTCACACAAACGGTTCTAGATTACAGTTCTGCAGACTGGGAGGGTCTATTCAAAACGCTATCATCAATTGACCTTTCTTCGTCAATAGTCTGAGATAAATATAATAGTGACAGTTCCGGAAAGCTCCCTAACAACTCCGACAACCTAGAAAATAATTCGAGCAACATTGACGATGATTGGCAACGTTGGTGTGATCGTTATATGAATGCTATGTATCATCACATTCCTACCAAAGTCATCAAGAAACGCAAATCTTCACTTTTGTTTGACAGTGACGTTCGAAATCTACTGAAGAAAAAGGAAACAGCTAGACGAAGAGCGAAAAGAACATCTAACACCAAACACTGGGAATCCTTTCGTGAACTTCGCCGTTGCTGTAAACTCCTACTTTTACAAAAACGTAAAAAATTCTTCCAGAACTTAGCCAACTTAACGAGATCTAACCCGAAGAAATTTTGGTTGCTGTTTAAATCCGTGTCAAAAACGTCCACTGTGCCAAGCAAAATGACCTGGAAACGAAGTGAAGAGACTATAACAGCTGAAAACCCAGAGGACATTGCAAACCTTTTAAACAACTACTTCCATTCCATGTTTAATCCTCCCCTTTTCCAGGACGAGTATAATAATCATCCAACTCTGATCAACTCATCATGTGAACCAATTACAGATATCCACATTTCCTATGATGGTGTCAGACGTGGTTCTCCTCTCGCTTCATGTCAGCAAAGCCACAGGCCCAGATTAAATCCCTGCAAAATTCAGAATACAGCGCACCCTATATCTTGTCATAGCTGAGTGATCTATTTAATAAGAGCTTACATACAGGAAGAATACCAGCGGAATGGAAGATATCAAATGTAACACCTATTCCTAAAAGTGGTCAAAAGCGTGAAGTCTCAAATTATCGGCCAATCTCTCTGCTTTCCATTGTATCGAAAGTCTTAGAGCGTTGTATCTAGGATCAACTAATTAACCATCTATCCTGCCAACTGCATAATCTCTAGTTTGGTTTTCTCAAGGGAAGGTCTACAACATCACAGTTACTTCAAGTTCTTCATGAGATTGGCAAATCGCTAGATAAGAGTTCAAACAGACATTCTATACCTAGACTTTGCTAAAGCATTCGACAGAGTCGATCATAAACTACTCATCAAGAAATTACAAAGCTTCTTCATGAGATTGGCAAATCGCTAGATAAGAGTTCAAACAGACATTCTATACCTAGACTTTGCTAAAGCATTCGACAGAGTCGATCATAAACTACTCATCAAGAAATTACAAAGCTTCTTCATGAGATTGGCAAATCGCTAGATAAGAGTTCAAACAGACATTCTATACCTAGACTTTGCTAAAGCATTCGACAGAGTCGATCATAAACTACTCATCAAGAAATTACAAAGCGTTGGGGTTGGTGGTAACTTACTGGCCTGGTTTGAAATCTCACTGACTGGTATTAGCAAGTTACAGTTCTAGGCAAAACATCACAACCGATACTATATAAGACCTAGGTACAAAGTCAATTGGCATACAGTTCGCAAGTCTGGTCACCACAGTCTGTTTTTCTCATCCTTGAAATGGAAAAGGTTCAAAGACGTCCAACAGGAGTCATCTTGTCATTGCCCTTTGGATCCAAAACAAGCTACAAAAACCGGCTGCTAAAAACAGGGCTATTTCCTTTGAGCTACTGGCATGACTACCTGGACTTAATTCACTTATTTAAAGAAATGAGACAAAGTCAAAACATATAAGTTAAATTAAGTAATCGTGTCACAAGGAGCGAGACATTGAATAGCGTTAGTATAAACATACCAAGAGTAAACACCTTAACATATCAAAATAGCTATTACAACAGAACTCCTAGAATCTTCAACAGTCTACCGCCACATATACGTAGATCAGATGTTACCATTGGACAATTTAACTCATACTTATTGGATTATTATAATAAGATGACTTAACTGGTATATAACATTGATGTTCTGCAATCTTTTAAAACTATCTGTGTTAAATGTCATTCATTTCGTCTGTTATGTAAACTTGTTGATAAAATGTGCTGTAGAGGTTGATTCGCTGACCTCAGAATATTTCTAATGAGCTTCTCAGCCTTCACTGTTCAAATTGGTAATATTCTTGAAACATATTACTATATTAGGAAACTAATACAATTT